AATGGCACACAGTCACTTTTTTAAATATGTTGGCAATCTGACAATAAAGCTGTAAAAAAATAAATTCCACATGAATTTTTAAAAATGAACCTATGAAGTAAGCAGAGCAAAGAGAAGTATTTATGGTTAAATGTGAATTAAAACAAAAGACCACTTAGCATGTCCGAGGCTCTAGGTTCGATCCCCAGCACCAGAGAAATAAAAATAAAAACAGAAGACAGTATTAATAGCAAAACGAGGTTATGATGAAAAATACACAGGTATTTGAAGGGTCCTAGGTTTAAAATTGGTTGCATGAGACACTACCGATTTGACCTTCTCTGACCATCAGTTACCTCGCTTATAAATGGGGATAATGGAGCAGGAAGATTTATATCTTTAATGAGAAGGGAGATGACAAACAAGGAGATTTGAATTTATTTGCAGTGAAGCAGTGCCCAAGAGCACACACACTGTTCCTGGAAAAAGCAGCTCCTGACCCTCTTGAGTTACAGGGTCCAGCTGTGTTCTGGGTGTGCCCTGGACCACCCACACCATGGCTCTCATCAACTTGTTTTGTCACATTCTTTCAGATGTTCCTCTGCTCTTTAGATTGAGTGCTTTGAGAACTCATGCTGTATGAATCATTCCTAGGTCCTCTGAGCCTTCCTAGCCCAAAGCTCAGAGCCTGATTTGCCAGCAGGTGCTCAGACAAGTTTTCATATTTTTGTTTTTCAGTAATGAAATATGTTCCTCACTTAATCACACATAGCTATTAATAACCCAGCAATCTGTTCACTGTGAATATACATTGTAAACAAGAGATCATAGGAAACATTTCTGCAAATGTCTGTCTGAGTGTGCAGGAGCCCATTAATTTAGTAGCCTGGCCTGTGGCTGGCTCTAGGAGATAAACCCTAAACCCTTAAGAGTATTCTGCTTGATAAGAGAGTTATGTTTGTGGGCCTTAGGTCACAGCTATACCAGTGGGACCATTTAAATTTGTCCTGACAATGTGATTTGTGGTTGTGTATCTGGTTTTACACTGGCGTGGCTGGGGTCTCAGTGGTCAAAATCAGTTATGCCAGCTTTGCATACTTATGTGGTTCTTGCCCAATAAAAATCTTGAACCTCAAGTACTCCTCATTTGTCACGTTATTGCTGGGAGAATATGTCTTAGTGTGTCCCTATTTGGTTCCACTGAAGAGACATCTTGCACATGTTCCCTCCTGGACTTCACCCCATGTGACTTTTCCCTTTACAAATTGTTTCCTTTGACTTTAATAAACTGTACCTGTGAACATAACAGCGTCTGAATCCTGTTAATCTGGATCACAAAGCCTCAGGGTTGTCTTGGGAATCCCTAGTACAAAGGGCTTGAGCCTTTTACTCCACACATTATCCAGAAGTATCTAGCAACAGTCTGTTTGCTACTTTTATATTTGTAACTAATCTTGAACACTGCCACTTTTTCAGATAAACCCTCAGTTAGGGGCTTCCTTGCTTAATTCACAGAAGACTCCCATAGAGAGGATTTACTGAGCACCTAATGAACAGTAAATCCTTTCGAATAAACACAACATTGCCAGTATGGTTGTTTTAGTTCCTAAGGCATGTATCACTCAGCCTCATACCAACAGAATTAAGTATATAAGCCCAGGAGTGAGCCAAAATGGGAACACTAATAGATAACTTTTCACTCCCAAAGCTTTGTGCCCTTCTGCTTCTTGGCTGCCCCATTCACTTGGTGGGCATGTTGTGTCCTTTCCCTTTGATCTTTTGCACTCCAACTGCTCCTGTTTACATGTTTGTCCCACTAGGTCATGGTATGCCCCATGGCAAAAACCGTATGTACTGGTTCCTACTTATTCTGCACAGCAAAAGACTAAATATTAAAATTTCTTTTAGAAATTAGGAAACTGACCCAAAAAGATATATTTTTCTCATGGCAAGGTCAGTGTGTTTCAGAACCAGGATGGAAACTCATGGCTATTTCATGCCATAGCCTATTAAGGAGACAATATACATAGGACTCAAGTAATTGTCTCAGCAAATTCCCTCTGGTGTATCTTTGCTATTAAGTTCTAATCTTTTCCACCAGCTTCACAATACAGGGGCCTCACATGCATTTGAGGTAAAGTGAGACACCCTACATTTGTTCTATTTGAACCACCTATTTGGTCCTTTTGGATGAGCTTTATATTTTTGTTTTGTTTTTTCTGCAACAGGGTCTGTATTGTCCGGGCTGGTTTAAAACTCTTGGGCTCATGTGATCCTCCTGCCTCAGCTCCCGAGTGCTGGGACTACAGACACTTGCCACCATACCCAACTAGGATCATGAAATCTTTTTAAACCTCTGCAAAAGGCATAAATAACTGTAATTACCAGAGTAGATTCTGAGGATTTTTTTCCTGCAGAACGGGTTTCCAAGGGATGAGGCATGACGATGAAGATGAGGGCTGAGATATAACATGCTGTCGTTGCATATGACAACAGTGAAGTATGGTCACTGTCGGGCCAAGAGAGGATTTTGTGGAAGAAAAAAGAGATTTGTGGCTGCTCCCTCCCACCTTTGAAGGACAGATGGGTTTGAGGGGGATGTTACAGCATTTTGCCATATGATTTGTGACACGAGTTCTTAAATGTCTCCCCACAAACCATCCAACATGGTTCTAGTGCTTTTTTTTTTCTATAGCACAATAAAGCATGTTATTATAGAAAAAGTTTTAAGAGTTTCCGTATCAATGATTTCATCTAACACTCCGTCCAGTCAAACTCATAGCTGGAGACACCCCCAAAAGCAACAGCAGGGGAATTCCCACAAAGGAATATGACAAATCATTCTGAGATAGGGCTGGTTGGGACTCAAAAGCAGCACTAAGGGTCAGGCGACCAACCGTAAGCATTTGGAGAACTTTCAGAGCAGGATGCAGCAACCTAATGGACAGTGTCAGAAAGAAATGACCCAGTTAGGTGTGTCCCCAGCAAGGGAGTCAGGGCATGTAATTTATTTGGAAAGTTTAAGGAATATGGTTCAGGCACAGGGCCAGTTTCTTCCAGTGTTCTGAGCAGTTCTATCAGTGCCTGAAGATAGTTAAAGCCCCATCTTAGGTTCAAACCTGCAGAGAAAAACCTGCAGAGCAGGATGACAAAGCAGTCAAGGCACTGTGTTTGCCAGGACCAAAACAACAAAAAGCAGGAATATAGGGAAAGGGTATGGGACATTACCAGAGACCCCTGCAGTGATCCTGGTCTCCTGCAAGCCAGCACTACATCTGAGAGATAGGAAAGAGGGAAATAAAGACACAGAGATTGGAGAGAAACTGAGTCTTGGGCTGATCTAAGCTGCCCCGGGCAGTGAATACAAAGGACTCCCAGGACATCCAGGGTTTATTCTTTACAAGTGTGGGAAGGGGGAAACTGGGCAGGCCTGGGGACACCTGCTGATAACAAGCATCAAGCAGGCAGGACTGTAGAATGAGGGCACAAGCATGTCTTTACTGAAGAGAACAAATTCAGAGGGGAGGATCTACTTAGAGTCAGCTGACCTTCACTGGGAGTGAACTCAGCCAAGCTCTGCTACTTCCAATGTAACACAGCCGAATTATGGAGGGGCGAGGAGCTTGCGCCACTATAGCCTGCTAATACTGGGCAGAGGTGTCTACCACACAAGAATAAATGGGAACTCTACAGATACCATCTGAGGTCTGCCACATTTAAAAATATATTTCCTTCAAGGGAAGAACAAAGGCTTCAAGTGAAATAATTTGAGATAGAAATAGAATCCTCAAATCTGCTTCTTCCTAGAGTCAGACATTGTAAACTTTATGAAAACTGACTCACCTTCATTTATTAGGATTAAATGAGGGTGTACACATATGGATAAACTGGCACAGAGAAGTGGTTAACACATATCCGATTTCCTGTTTTTATATTTTAAAACCCATTTAACAGAACTATTGCCAAAACTGCTACAGGCTGCCAGCCTAATTCACAGCCATCTAACACCAACCAAAATTATCTGGGAAAACTAATAAAGAAATGACTTTTAACTTTGTGCACACAGAACGATATCAACAGAGACAAGAGCAGGTAGTTTTCCAAGTGTCAATATCATTACAAGAATCTTGCAGAGATGATGCGTGTTTTGTAATGTTTGAAGAGATGGCAACCCAGAACTACCCCTTCTGACTCTGTGAGTTAATGAAGATACAAAGGTAAGACCAGAGCAATCCAGAAATAGCTTATCATGGGCAAGTCCAGCGTAATATTACTCACAGTCATGTGAAGACCTTAATGCCAGAGAAGAGGTCTAATAGGAATATATGAAATAGAAGTATAGAACAATGCATCTCAAGAGTATTTACAATCCATAAAAAATCCTAAACAAATTTTGGAAACAGGTTAATCATGACCAAAATGTATTTGCTCCACGAATGCATAGTTGATTTAAATGTACAAATTTATCAATGTAATTCACCATAGTGAGATCAATGAAGGGGAAAAATTCTATGACAATCTCATTAGAAACAACAATGAAATTCAACATACTTTCAAAATGAATACTCTCAGCAAAAATAGAATGGAATGGAGCAACTGTACTTTGATAAAGTGTATCTACCCAAAAAGGGTACATTAAACACCTTGATGAAATGTTAAGTTCTTTCCATTTCTGATCAGGGATAAGACAAGAAAGTCCAGTATTGGGCCAGGGATATAGCTCAATGGTACCCTGAGTGCCTGGTAAGTGTAAGGTTCTGATTTCAATCCTTCATACCAGGGGGGAAAAAAGAATGTTCACTATCACCAGCTTTGTTTCACACTGTATTGGTGGGTCTGTCAAATGCCATAAAATGAGAAAAGGGGAATAAAAGGTAAGAGGTTTTAAATGGTAGAAATAAAACTATTCTCAAAGCTATTGTGTACACTGAAAACATCTATCAATACACTTTTAGAATTATTAAAAGAAAATACATATTTTGACATTAAATACCTAGAAATAAACAAAAGTTATGCTAGTCTTCTTTGAAGAGAACTGCACAACTTTATTGGGAGAATTATGATGGCCAAGGCCCCAACACAAGAACTGCCTACATGATTGCTTTTGTCTTCTTTTACACCAGTGACGGCCCTTCTCCTGTAATACAAAAATAACCATTGAGAAAATTACTTAACTTTATTTAGATGACACTAAAGGCCTACAAAGGCTACTACGGTTACGGTTTTATAAAACAGATTGAAACTAGAACCCTAAGGGTAACCCTATGGCTTAAATCCAGTTAGACCTCTCTATAGACTCTGAGGATAGATTTCCAGACATATTAACAATATGCTAAAGGGCTGGGGTTTTAGCTCAGTGTCTCTACCGCCTGCCTTGCAAGCACAAGGACCTGAGTTCGATTCCTGGTACCACAAAAAACAAATTGTTTAAAAAAAAATGCTATGATTTTCCTAAGCGTATATGTTAGCTATGTTGTATAACACAACAGTCTCTCCAGTGGCACAAGGAAATAGACTGTACAAGTTCAGAATATAGTACACAGAGTAAACTAAAGATCATTTCAAGAAGAAAGCAAAAGCTGAATACATTTTTAATGTAAAAACTTAAAAAATAAAACTTTTTAAAGTGTCTTTTAAGTGTTTTTATTTGAAATAACATTCTGAATACAACAATATCTAAAATAGTAATTCACACTTGGAATTGCTCAAGTGAACAGTAAATAAACAACCCAGTACTGCATTTGTTTTGTCTTTATTGTGGAAAGTGTGAAAATGATTTGGGGGCAGTTTAGCTCTTATGCAGCTGATTTAAGTAGGATCACCATTTGTCCTCATTCGTAGCAATACTTCTACTTTTAATTATGAATGCCACCACTTTACTTGCTTAGAAGTGTTCCAGTTATTACATGGCCACACAAGTTTTAAGCCATTATTATCATGGTAACATCAAAATGTGAAGTAGATGGAAGGATGAATCACAAAGATTGCAAGTTCAAGGGCCGGGGATTTAAGTCAGTGGTTCCACTGCCTGCCTCATCAGCATAAGGACCCAAGCTCGATCCCTAGTACCAAAAAAATAGATTGCAAGTTCAAGCCCAGCCTGGCCAACTTGGTGACTTGATGAGACACTGTCTCAAAAAGGGCTGTGCATACAGCTTAACACAAAGCCCATGGATCCAATCCCGAGTAGCACAAAAAAAATTTTTTTGATAGACATATAGTTTCTCAAGTGTCTGACCAGAAGGAAGGGGGAGGAGATAGGGAAAAAAATTAAGACCAGATATATATTTACATCTTCAGTATCTGTCAGTGCTTTACTCATGTTATTGTGAATAACTGAGTTTTGTTCATTTTCTTCAAAAATATCTAAGCTAGTGCATTTTTCAAGTATTTTCTACAAGAGTAATCTGAGTGACATATTAATTGTATTGTTTTTCATTTTTCCAGTAATTCATACTTGTATTTTATTAGGAAATTTTTCTTTTTCCATTAAATTTATCTCGCTGCCTTTAAAAATAGTTTATATTAAATTTAATGTAATTTACCATCTTTTTCTTTTTTAGTAAGAGAGCTAGACTAGCAAAAGCAATTCTGGGCAACAAAGGCAAGGCAGGGACATCATAATCCCTGATTTGAAATTATACTACAAGAGCTTGTGATAAAAACAGCATGGTACTGGCAAAAACACAGACCCGAGGACCAGTGGAATAGATTAGAAGATGCAGAAACAACTCTGAAGACATTGAGCCACCTTATCTTTAACAAAGGGGCCAAAAACCTTCACTAGAAGAAAGATGGCCTCTTTAATAGTGCGGGATAAATTGGCTTTCCACATGCCAAAGATTAAAACTAGACTCATGTCTCCCACTATGCACTAAACTAAAATCAAAATGGATCAAAGATCTAAATATCAAAACAAAAATACTGAATCTGCTGAAGATAGAAGACACTGGTGTAGGCAAATCCTTTATAAACCAAATCCCAATCACACGGGAAATAGCACAAAGAATCAACAACTGGGATCTCATTTTATTAAAAAGCTTTTAATTGTACCACAGCAATACATGCATATCCATGTTTATAGCAGCACAGTTTGTAATAGCTAAAACTTGGAAATAGACCAATTGTCCATCAACTGGAGACTGGATAAAGATGTGGTTTTTCAATAAAACAGAGTACTACTCAGCCATTAAGAATGAGAAACTAGAGACATTTATAGCTAAATGGATGCATATTGAGGCCAAACTCTTAAGTGAAATAAATAGGACACACATGTGTAAATACCGAATATTTCTCTTGTGTGAAAAACTACAAGTGTAAATAAGGTTCAAATTGTATAACTGATAATGTGAAATAGGAAGAAAAGGGCTAAAGGAGTAGGGGAAGTGGGAGGGGCAGGGGAAAGGAAATACGGGGAAATATGAGAAAAGGAAAAAAATGGAAACAAAGTCTGTAAATAGGGAAGGGTGGAGGAGGTGAAGGGAGGGCAGAGCCAAGGGGAAAAAATGAGAACCAAGATATATCATGTAAAGGTACAAGATCCCAGTGATGAATGTAACTGTACTGTATACCTAAAAAGTACCAATAAACTTAATATGAGAAAAAGCTTTGACACAGCAAGAGAAACTACCAACAGAGTGAAGAGACAATCCACGGTGTGGGAAAAAAATTTTGTCAGCTGTTCCTCAAAGGACTACAATCTAGAATATATAAAGAAGTAAAAAAATCAGACCTCACCCTAATTTAAAGACCCAGTGCAAAAAGGGTACCTGAAATAGAGACTCCCAGATGAAAAAGTAGAAATGGCAGATAAATATATGAAAAAATGTCTAACATCACTGGTCATTCAACAGATGCAAATTAAAACAATGCTGCGATTCCTTCTCACTCCAGAAAGAATGGCTGCTATCAAGAAATCAACAATAGCAAATGCTGGAGGGGCTGTGGGGAGAAAGGAACCCTTCTCCACTGTTGGTGGGAGTGCAGACTGGTGCAACCACTGTGGATATCAGAGTGGAGATTCCTCAAAAAAATAAAGCTAGAGGTTCTATTTGACCCAGTTATTCCCCTTCTTGGTATCTTCCCAAAAGAATTAAAAGCAGCAATATATGCACATCTATGTTTATAGTGCCACAGTTTGTTAATAGCTAAACCTGGAAAACAGCCCAAGTACCCATCAAACAATGAATGGATAAAAATGTGTTTTGTTTTGTTTTTTTGGATTATTACTCAGTCCTTTATTTGCCATTATATACAATTTATCCCAGGAATGCAAGGTTAACTTAATATATGAAAATCAATCAGCTTGGAGGTAGCCTGGGCCCCATCCACCGCAGGAAGGAGAGCCACGCCTTCTCCCGCCCCTGCCGCCATCGCTCCAGTGCCAGAAGGTAGCCCCGCGGGCGCCCATGAACACCCATAACTCCCCTTACAACATCCCCACCCCCGCGCGCACTCTCAGACCTCCTCACTGTGCCAGGCTTTGGACCCACTCTGCAGAGGCAGAGGTGGTCATCAAGGGTATTTTTCTGAGTTCCCAACTTTGAACATCTTTAAAGAAAGGGCATGGGAAACCTGTAATAGAACGTTGTGGAGTTCAACCATTCAGAAGGTTGGGGAACTCAATCTGGGCCTTGCAGCCAGAGGTCAGTCAGCGTCATGGGGTTCAGCCATCAGCTAACTGAGATCAGGGGTCTTGCGTCCTCGCTCTGTCTGAGCCATTAAATGGCAAATATACTATGTTGAAATTTTGTTCACTGCAGACATGTTCTGGACTGCTTCTTGATTTCAATTTAATTCAAATGATTTAAGGGTGATAGACTAGTGACTACCACAGGTGGTCACTGTCCAAGTTGTGCTTGATTTTAATGTGTTGCTGATTGTATCAATTGGGATAAACCATTGCAGATGATTTGATGAGATGTTTCTCTGATGTTATGAAGATGAGAATGTCTGTGGGTCGTTAGAGACACAGAAGCTAGGGCGCAAATATATCAGGAATATTTGGGTGGTAATCCAGAGATTAAACCAAGGACAGTCCGACAACAAAAATAAAAATGAGAAAACACTTAAGCAAGACACAAGGACAGACAAAGTAAATTTCAAACCAAAATTGATTCTAGTGTTATTGATGTAGGATGGTACTGTATCATACCTCTGTGAATGTAAAATATCTTGTACCTGCATTATGATACATAGTAGTGACTGTGCTTTATCAGAGTTATATTTAATGATATTACTCTAGAATGTTCTCTTTCCAGATGATGATTAAGATGCTAATAAAAAAAATGGTGCCAGGTACCACAACAGCAACAGAACTTTGCTATTTTCTGGATATTATTCTTTTCTTTGTTTTTTTGTTTTGTTTTATTTTTAATGGAATGTGCTGAATGTCTACAATTTTGTTCAGATGACTGCAGAACCTGGAAAAGCTGTTGCTGCTATCGATGCATAACATACTATTATTAGT